TTAGCCTTGGTCAAAGAAGTTTCTGCTTGTAGTGGGTGCTGATTAATACAGAACCAAAATTGTTTAGCCTTAAATGGGATATCTAAATCACCCTCTCAAATCTCTAGAAACATAACAAAGGGGGAAACTGAAAACAACATAAGAGCCTGAAACTGTTTTCTATACATGCCATGGCAGTGATGGTTACCTGTATAAGACTGATCCCATCAACATTCCATCATGGATAAGTGAAGAACTCATGGGGCCTCACCCCCATCTGAATGAGGAGTTATAAGCAGTTCAATTTGAGATAACAATATCCTTTTAATATAAGATACTTTTTTTTTTTAAAACAGTCTAATATTGTAGCTTAGGCTGGCTTGGAGCTCACCATGTAGTTCAAACTGGCAGTGAACTCATGGAACTCTTACTGCTTCAGTCTCCTGAATGTTGAGATTATAGGGGTGAGCTACCATGCTTGGTCCCATATAATTATATTAAAATTCTGTCGTTCCTGAACTAAGCTCATTTGGCATATAAATTTTTTCTAGAATGGTAAGTAAGTACATGCTATGTTTTTTTTTTAAACAATTTTTTTTTCTAAAATAATACTTTTCCCTGGGCAATGGTGGCTCAAACCTTTAATCCCAGCACTCAGGAGGTAATGACAGTCAGATATCTGTGAGTTCGAGGCCAGCCTGGTCTAGAGAGCAAGTTTCAGGACAACCTTGGGCTACACAGAGAAACCCTGTCTTGCAAAATAAAAATCAAAAAACAAAAATAACCTTTAATATTAATTTCTAAAATATATTTGTTAACTTCAATGAGTTAAGTCTATTGCTTCTTTTATTATAATTTACTACCCTCAATTTGTTAGTTATTATACTTTATTATATATAATAAATACTGCTGCAGTTAAAAAAAAGTCTTATCAGGTAAACATTATCATTTTGGATTATTGTGGTAAATACTGGCCTGGGTGTTGTTACCAGGTCAATGGCTAGAACTATTTTGGTGATTGATAATGTCTGAAATGACCTGTAAAAGTGGCAGAAACTAGTCTCAGTGCCACCCAAGGTACAAGATGTTGCAAAGCTCCAGATTGACATAACTTCACCAGCCTCATTTCATAACTAGTTTTTCCTTTTTTTTTTCTTTTTGGTGCTAACATCAAAACCAGGACCACATGCGTGTTAAACAAGCACTCTACCACTGGCTTTATTGTACCACTTTAATTATTGTAATTATAGTTAATTACATGGACTACTTACTGTTAATTAGGTGAATATTTTTCCATGCTTATTTTTCCTGACTTTTCTGTGAATCATATACTTGACTTTTCCATATTTTATGTATTTCAGAAGACTTTAAGAAGCTATTGACCTTTCCTTATTTTTTATGTTTTTCCACTTTAAATTTTCCTATAGTATCTATTATTAGTTATTTGGATTTGAAACTGCATACATATATTTTTCCCACCTTAAATTCTTCTATTGTTTTAGTTGTCTTGAGAAAAATGTTTTGTGTGCAGTGGTGAGTTGGAGGAATACTAATATCTTCAGTCCATCTTGAGTTTTTCTGCTAGGGAATGGAGATGTGTTAAGATTTCTTCAAGACTTTCAACTTTGTTCCAATACTTCAGAGGCTTATACCCTAAAAGGTCACTTCCATCATAGGATGGCCTACATTCCTTTAAGCTAAACTTTAAATTTCATTTAAAATCTTTGGATTATGTGTGTTTTTTACATGCTGAGATCAAAGGCATTCACCACTATACCAGGCGATTGTTGGGTTTTAAAAAATAATGGCAAAACCAGGTTTTAAACTGCCATATCAACAACAACAAAAATGCATATTTGTGTGTTAGATTTAGTCTATGAACTGCCAGAGAACATCCTCCCAACTACAGAGCTTTACTGCTATGTCTGTGCACTGTTACTTTTTCATTATAAATTATTTAAGGTGTTGTGACACAGTTTGTATGTCGCAGTCACTGGCTACCAGCATAGGTAATCTTGAAAAGGATTCCAGGTCCTTGGAATACAACCTTGTTGGAGAATGCTTGCCTAGCATGCATGAGAGCCCGAGCCCTATGTTACTATCCTCCCTTCCCCCACTCCCAAATATGCAGTGTAAATCTTAGACTATCAGCTACACTCCTACACCTTTATGATATTTCTGAAGTATGACTGACTTGGAATACAAACCATTTATGCTGAGTCACTATTTTCCCTGTGTTTCAAAAAGAGCGTCTTTCTAGTGGCTTGGAAATTATAACATATGTTGGAGAGCAGCCACACCTCTTTAATATAGAATCACAACAATGTGTTGCTACCAATGTGTGTAACCTTGAAGCATATTGCTGTTATCAGTTTAACTTAAATATAGTCACTTGTTTCTCATGCTAAGATGAAATAGGAAGGTAGTTTAAAACTGTTTCCAAGGGCTCATGTTAAAAATCCAGGCATGGTGATGCACGCTTGTAATCACAGAGTGGAGAAGGAGGAGACAGGAGGGCCTCTAGAGCTCACTGACCAGCGAGCCTAATCACAGCAGTAACCCCAGGTCCCAGTGAAATACTCTCTTGAAATGCAAGTAACAACACTTAGGGTGGACCTATTGTCCTCACATACCTATGCTTTGTATGCTTGCACATGCACACGCACACACACACACCTTTTAAAAATAAGGCTGTTTCTTTGCAATGCATAAAACTGAAGAGGTCTGGGTCTTTTGCTCCTTGACAGGCAGTTAGTTTGTTAGTTCTTTGTTTCTCCTCTTGTGGAAATTGGATTGACCAGACTACATAAATAATATCATTAAGAATAATTTGAGGCAAGTGAACATAGTAACCATAGGAACAAGAGGGAAGGGACTTAATATGGGAGAAAAGAAAGGAACCTTGGTCTTTGTTGTCTTGAGTCTTTCCTTGCTTCTTTCCAGCCTCATGTCCTTGGACAAGATTGCTTGTATCATTTGTGAGACTGAGATGATGACACCACCTCAGTGCTGATCAGATGATGTGATGAAAGTTACAAGCTGATTACCCCATCCACATCAATTGTTATTGTCACTCCAAGGAGTTACACAGAGCTATTGTTTTTTAAATTGGCAGTTAACTGAGAGAAAAAAAAGCATTCTAGCTTGTTAGTCAATATGATCCATTTCTCCAAATATCTAGCCAAATATTTTCTGTTCCATAATCAGAAACAAGTAGTCGTGTCAGGGTTATTACTTTGGGCAACTATGATATATAGATTGGTTGGGCAACTAATTTAATCCAGCTACTCCAAAAGATTTTCCTTGTTAAACATAAACAAAGGAATAAAATCCTTAATCATAATTTCAATTTTTTTTCCAATTTGAAAGTGTGTTTCCAGAGTGACAACATCTGTCATCAGGAGATCTTGGGTTATCCTTACCATTCTTACTAACATTTCCTATCAAAGTCAGAAGTGTTAGGCTAGGATGAAAGTCTCTCTTTAAGTGTTTTCTAGGTCTCAAGTTGAGACATCTGTCAGCTGATTTGCACATGAGTGGTGAAGAGGGCCTTGGTATCTGTTCCTACCATTTCCTTTTTGGGATGAAATTACATAGATGTCCAACTAATTTTAGAGTGGTTGTGGCCAAGTGTAAAAATGTGAGGCTGCAAAGGATCCCAGTATCCTTTCCACACCGATTTCACAGCCAGAGAAGGAAGGCTAGGGAGGGAAGACAGAGTGAGCCTTTTACACAGAGTGAACATTTTTCATCTCTTTGAATCTTCAAAGTAAACGTGGATAGAAAGACACAGAAGCTAAGTTGCTCATATTCACCCAGCTAATAAGTGGCTGTAGTGACTCTGTTTTAACTGAATCCATACCCTGGAGTGTTTGGATGTTAAATTGTCTTAACTATTGTGAAATGGGTTTGACTCCAATGCTACAGGGATGGCATTATTTGCACAATCCAAACATGTATTTTATGATGGAAAAGGGGTTATAGAGTTGGGGATTCCTATTCCTTGTGGTTCCCAATAAAGTATAATATGAAAAGTGTTGCAGTATTCCTTGGGATAGATGGGTACCTTGCAAGTAATGAAATCTGTGAATTTCTACCTCCTAAGACTAATTGACAGCTTCTTTAAAGTATAACAAATCTAGAAATGGTTAAGTGGTGTCTCTCGACTGGGTACGTGTAGTGAGAGTTTATTTCATTATATCAGGCAGCTCATTATGGGGAGCAGTCTGTGAAGTGGCAGATGTTGGGGCATCTGCCCTTCCAAGGACACCTTGTACTCTATTAATTGACAATAGTATAAGGGGCTTCATGGAGCTAGTGACATTTATGGGGACAAACAATAGTGATAAACCAACTCCAAAACAGAACAGAGCTTCTACATCTATCATTGCTGTTCTCAGGCCACAAACATTATTCATGTGAATTGCAGAGAAAGGTGCATCTTGTCTAGAATCCTATAATCCTAGTTTAATTATTCCGGCCTGAGTAACTCTTGAGTCAAATGTTACAATGGAGGAAACCTTCTTGAGATAAGACAGCTTTTGGCATCTCTGCTAGGAACCACATCAGATTCTCAAAAGCAAGCTGATCCAGTGTTACCATTTTGTTTGCCAATCTTTGCATTTCTCATCATCTCTCAGAACAACAGTATTTCAGCATCCTGAGAAAGGTCACCTCAACCTGAATCTGCTAATTCTGCCCTGGGGGAAAACTGACTCTGTCTCATTTACCCCAACTGGGTGAGGCTGGGTGTGGGGAGGATGTTGCCCAGTCTGACCAGAATACTGCTTTTTCTGAACCTACAAGGTCAAAAACCTGTCATACTGAGGTGGGTGGGCTGGCCATTTGGCCCAGAGTTAGCTGTTCTCACATGAACTCTGAGGTTACTTTCTGGTAGGCTGAAGCATGGAGACAAATCTCCCCATTTTGACTTCAACCCCTCAAACATGCTCAGGGATTTCTGGATGACCATGGAGAGTCAGGTGCATCCTGTTATGGAGGTATTAGTGCCCAGAGAATGATTGAAAGATACTAAGCAAAGATAAATGTATTTTTGATAGTTGTTACAATGAGAAGTTTAACCATTTGTTAAAAGTCTGAGTGCCACAAGTAAACGAAAAGATTTCCCAACACTCCATGAGAGTCGTAGTCTTCTCCCATATACACAGCCTTGAGAAAGAAAGCAAAGATGTACATTTTCTTATTTTTAAGCTTTTAGTCTTCTTGACCGTGTTCTCTAAAACAAAGAAAAAGGCACTTATGAGAATTATTTCAATTTTTGATTTCTCTCCCTGCCTCCCCCCCCCCTTTGTCTGTAGTTATGGAGAGGTAACTTAATAACACTGCAGGGGTGGCAGAGGTAAAGAGAAACACTTCCTGGTTAGCCAGAGAGACAGTAGCTGAATATCTTGAATACATCTTGAAAGAGAAGAAAGCTAAATATGTTGACTGAAGCCCTTAAAAAAGATCAAACTAAAAAACAAAAACAAAAAAAACAAAACAAAAAAAAAACAAAAACAAAAAAAAACCCCCAATAACAACAACAACAAAAACCCCACAAAACTCACACAAACACGACCAACTTCTTGTGGATCTCCATGCTTCTAACCACATCACAGAACTCTTGGAAGGATATCCGGCCATCGCCGTCCTTATCCAGGACCAAGATGGTTTTGTCTACCAGTTGCTGCAGCTGCCAGTCCTTCAGATTGTTACCCACCATCATCTTCAGCACCTGGAAGAGCTCCCCGTTGGAGATGTAGCCATCTTTGTCCATGTCGTAGATTCTGAAGGCGAACCTTAGCTTCTGGTCTTCGTCGCCCTTGACGCTGAACTGCGAGGTGCCCCTGATGAACTCGTGGAAATCCACTTCCCCGTTGCCATCCGTGTCAAAGATGTCGATTACTCGACTCACCAGTGGGTTCTGTTGCAGCTCAGGCAGCGACATGAACTCCTCTATGCTCAGAGAGCCGGATTTGTCCAAGTCCATCTTCTTGAAGCTTCTGCACAACCTTCTAATCTCATCCTGGTCGAAGTGGTTGCCCATCTCGGAATAGTAGCTGGCCTCGTTTCCCATGGCGGGGGCAGTAGAGCTGGTAAAGCCAGTGGGAGGGAGGAGACAGCAAGGCAGAGAGTGCTGCCGTTGGCCTGTGCATCTCGCGAGAGAGAGCACGTGGGAACCAGAGGTGGGCAGCAGGCAGGGAAGGTGAAATCCAGTAACTCAGTGAGGACAATAAGAGGGGAAATGGAGGCTGGAGGGGATGGGAGGACAAACGCGGGCTATTCAGGAAAGGGATAGCTGTCACTGAGCTGACCTCCTCTGTAACACAGGTCTTCCTTACAATTTCTCCTGGAAATTATTTTCTCTTTCATCTCCCTTTCCCAAGAAATGGGAGCCCCAAGGGAGCTAGGAACATATCTAGATAATCCACTGTGTTATCTCCAGCAAAGACTACATACATAGCTTGACAGACAATATATACATAACGGACATATATTAAACCACTGACTGAGGATAACATCAGACTGATGCTTCCTTTGAAGGGTGGTGTAAGGGTCAGATAAAATCATAGTTCAAGCATTGATATGAAGTAAATTCCCCATAGTTCTCCCTGGGAGCAGCCAGAATGGCGTCCTTTTGGACCTCTTTCAGGAACTGAAATTACAGACACCAACATAGCTCTTAAGAAATACAAAAACTTCGTAATTCAGAGCACTTTAAAAAAATAAAATAATAGTTACTGTTCCCAAGAACATGGCCTCTGTTGCTTTGTGTCTGATGCCTGGGGCTGGCTGTCCCACAGAGCTCATTAGAGATCTTTTGTAATGTGTCTAGGGACAGCCTGTGTGTGCTGAGAGGGGCAGCTTACATTTCTCACTCCCTCCTTCGATTCCACTAGGTTTGTTCTCTCAGCCAGAATTAATCTTTCTTTTCTTTGGAGTAGCAACTCCAGTTCTCTACACATATAAAAAATACATGTGGTCCAAGAACAATCTAGTTCAAAGGGAGCTGGGGGAACCTCAGGCTGCTAAATCTCACTGAGAGAGGCAAGCATCCCTCACTTCCAAAAACAAGTGTGTATCATGTCTATGTTCTTTAGTTCAGAGGAAGATAATCAGCTGGAAGGTCTGTGACGTTGGCACAACTGAGCCACTGGATCATTTTAATTTTCTCTGTAAAAACATAATAATTGTGGTGCTTTGAATAAGAATGTCCCCTACCCCCTCAGGCTTTGGCCTTTGAATACTTGGTCCTAGTTGGTGGCACTGTTTAGGGAGGTTTAGAAGGCATGGCCTTTCTTGAGGAAGTTTATCACTAGGGAAGGACTTTTAAAGGCTTGTGCCATGCCATTCCTAGGTTGCTCTCTGCTTCTTTCCATTTGGCTCTTTGCTTCCAGATCCACTGTGATGGTGATGGACTCCTATTTCTCAGAGAGCCAAAGCCCCAAATATGCCCTTTCTTTTACCAGTTGCCATTGTCATGGTGTTTATCATAGCAATAGAAAAGTAGCTAAGTAATAATTCACTTTTTTTGTTTTAATAAAAGGGACTTATTTTTATTTTTGTGTATGTCTATGTGTAGCTATCTGTGTGCATGTGAATGAAGGTGTCTATGGAGGTGAGAAGAGGGCATCAGATCCCCTGGAGCTGGAGTTACAGGCAATGGTGAGCTGCCTGATGTAGGTACTGGGAACCAAACTCAGGACCTCCGCAATAGCAGTACATACACTTACAGTTGAGCTTTCTCTTGAGTCCTTCCATTGGCTTTAAAAAATTAAACAAAACACCCTTTACCAACCCAAGCTGTTTTACCAGAGACGTATTTTGGCTTATTTGCTTGTTTTCCCAGTTATCCAGAGAAATTAACAGGTATAGTTTGTATAAAGCCTTTGTGAATTTGTAATGTTAAAGGGAATTAAGCTCTAAGGTTCCATGTACCTATAAATCTCAGCACTTTTGAGACTGAGGCAGGAGGGTCAGGAGTTTTTACTCATTGTGGCTACATACTGTGACCATCTCAAGAAGGGAGTGGGCAGAGATCACCTTGAATTGTAAGATTCTGAAGTCAGTGCTCATCTCTGAATGCTACTTATCCCACCACTCTGCTCTATGCCCTTCATAGAGCCCCACAATTTTTCTAGATTGGGATTGGGGGATAGGCAAGCCCTGAGGGTGTCTGATGTTAAGCTTTCTTCTATGAAGAGGAATCAATTAGCCTAATAGTGCTCTGTACAGGTTCATGTACATTAGAGCTGAGGTTGGCCAAAATGGTCATTGCCATTTTTCTTAACTAATTTTATTTTTATGTTCTCTGCTAGTACAGGCAACATCTTAAGGGAAGAGTTCTGGCAGCCCTGGACATGTTAGTGTATGTGTACATTTAACAAACATTTGTTAGAAAAGAGCCATAACAAATGCTAAATCACATACACAGATTTTAGTGGATAACCTGGTGAATCCTCTGGTATAGATTGTGAACTGCAGTGTAAACAACCTCTGATTTCAACATCAGTATCAAGGGAGCACAAGCCTTTGCCAAGGTGTTCAGAAAGTTCCAGGCCACTAAGACATGGCAGTGTCCAAGCACACAGAAGGCTGGTCCCATAGCAAATAAACGCACATCAGTGGACAGATTTCTACCATAGAATTGCATATAAGGTTCCTTGAGACCCCAGTCAAGGGACCAGACATGTGGCCACCCTAGCTGCCCTACTCTCAGTTCCTATGCTACACACATGTCACCAAAGGCATGTGTGAAGTCACAAGGGGATCTTAGGAATGTGTATAGAGCTGGTGGCCAAGACACAGGTAAGAATGATTAAATGTGTGTGGAAGCTGCTGGGGGTGTGGGGGAGGGTAGGTGAGCAGCAGCTGGAGCTGGTAGTCTTTCAGAACATATGGCCATGTGGGCCTGCCCCTCCTGCCTAAACCTTCTGTTTTCAGCAGGAGTGGGGAGCATAAGGTTGGATGCTGGGCATTGAGGGGTGCAGGGTAGGAAGGCCTTCTAAAGGAAAGGAAGCAGAATCCAAGGCAAAAACTATCCATAATCAGCTCTGGGCCCTGAAGAGTTGGATCTTCAAATGTAGGCGAGACAGAGGAAGACATCAGCTTTTCCAAACACCACCTGTATCCTCTCACTTGACTGAAGAGGACGGACCATGTGTGATTACATGGCGAACAGTGTCTGCCTGTCAGAACCAGGCAGCTAATGAGAGAGTCATGAGGGACCTGGATAAGTGTGGTGGTCTGAGTGAGAGTGACTTCAAAGGGTCCACATGTTTGAATTCTTGCTTCCCAGTTGGTAGGAGGCATGGCCTTGTTGGAAGAGGAGTCACTGGAGGTGGGCTTGAGGTTTTCAAAGGCTCATGCCCTTCCCAGTGTGTTCTGTCTTCTGCTTGTGGATCAAGATGTGAGCTCTCAGCTGTTCCTGCTGCCTGTCATGTCTTTGCTCCACCATCACGGACTCTAACCTGAAGCTGTAAGCCCAAATCAATGTGCTCTTCTGTGATTTGTATTGAACATGAAGTTTTATTAGGAAAAAGTAACTTTATAGGAAAAAGCAACTAATACAACAAGATAGAAAGTAGGGAGTTTTCAGTCATTAACAGTGCTAGACAACTGGATCTTATCACCCACTCCTTTGTTGTGGCTCTTTGACCAAATCAGGCAGGCATACAGGCCTGACCCTTTCAGGACCTCTGCCAGGCAAGGCAGATAGAAGGAATCAAGACAGTTTCATTTTATTATAAGTGATTTTATTTCATTAAAGGCTGGCTGTGAACTAGACCAAGATGTGGGGGGGGGGAGGAGGAAAAGGAAGACAGAGAAATGGAAGGAAGGGCAGATGGACTGCTTAGACATTGGTTACATTCTTCTGCTGCACCCTGCTCTCAGCGCTTTCTATCATTCACTTGGGCTCTTCAGACTTCTCATTGTAGGCTTGTGGAAGTCAGTGATAGTTGCCAGGCACTCAAGATTCCTTACAGCTTTTTCCTGAATAATTATTTGACGTTTATTGCTGTAAAGGAGACACTAGTGAACTGGACTCCACATGTGTTACCAGGAGGCAGAAATAGGTATGTACTTGTAATCCCAGAGCCAGGAAAACAGGATAAGAGGATTTCTGGGGCTTGCTTGCTAGCCAGCCTAACTTTGCAGGCAAGCTCCAGGTCAGTAATAGATGCTGGTCAGAAGACCAAGGTTGATGATGCCTGAGGAATGATACCCAAGGTTGACTTCTGGCCTCCAACCATACACACACACATGCACCCACCTGAACACTTAGACACATGAACATACCTATTCATGTGATGATTGTGATGGGCAGTTTAGGTAGTACACATAGAAACTTTTCATGAGGAAAAAAGTTGTCACAAGAATTAACGATTTAATGATTGGACAGACACCATTGAAGAGATAGACACCATTGAAGAGATGGCGCCACCTCATTTAAATGCTTCCAACATACAAAAATTCCTTTTGGTCCTTGCATTGTAGAGAATTTAATACCATCTTGAAAGCTAGAGTTGTCAGTCAGTATGAGGTTGAGTCCCCTGTTGTTCTACATTTCATAAACTTTTTAGTTTGGCATCATAATGGGATTCCAGCCATTGTTTCCATTTTATCTAGCTATTCATTATTCTTAGTCATTTCCATGGAAAACACCATTTGTTACTTTTCTGTGTATCACTGCAGGGTATATGGACTGCAATAAATTAAAAGGGTTGATTGATTGATTTGTTAGACACCAGAAACCTGATGCACTCCTGTTTTAACAAAGCATTCCCCCTCAGTTTTATTTTTCCCCAATAACTTTCAGATTAAGAGCCATGAGACAACTGCATGCATAAATAACTGACAATGAAATTGGAAGTGATAAGACATGTGGTCTGTCTTCCACTCCCTTCTCCTTGTCAGTCAGGGGAGCAGGTTTCTGGGCAAGGAGACACATCTAGCAGCTTCCTATAAGTTGTGCAGGGAGTCCCAAGCCTCTCCTGAAAGGGCTTCTGTGGTCTTGGAGCCACACTTGACATAACTATATTGATGTGAGCCACAGTGTGGTGTGAGAAAATGCAGCTTAAGTTGTAGCTTAGGCCCTGAGCTCACGCTGTTTCTGAGTATCAGGTTCTCATCAGCAAAGCAGAAGGGAAAGAAT